CGCACACGCACATGCACACGCACACGCACACGCACACGCACGCACACGCACACGCACACGCACACACACACGCACACATACACACACACACACACGCACACACGCACACACACGCACACGCACACGCACACGCACACGCACACGCGCACGCGCACGCGCACGCACACGCACACGCACACGCACACGCACACGCACACACACGCACACCCACACACACACACGCACACGCACACGCCTGCGCCATGCCCATGATGATGAGCCCCTCCGCCGAAGTCCACTGGATCACCTGGGCGACCGCCGCCTCTCGAGGCGGGGTGCGGTGCAGGCGCTCGGGGTCGCCTGCGCCGACATCGGCGCGCAGGCTGCCCGCGCAGGGCCGCGCGTGAGCGCCCTCGCCTCCAGTGCAGGGTGCCGTGCCGGCGTCCCGCGTCAGCCGCCGCGTCAGGTCTCTGTGCCGTCTCGCGTGGGACCCCGTTCTTGTCGTCGCTCCCGTGGGAAGGCCGCCGAGGAGACGACCCGGACGAGGTGCGGCCCGGCCGGCGGCCCGGCCGGCGGTAGCCGAAAGTGGCCACCGCAGCAGTGGTGGGGCCACCGCCACGGCAATGCTTCGCCCGTGGCGGTGACTTTGCGATGGTAGCGCCTTCCCATCGCTGTCTCCGACGCCATGGCAATGAGCGCCACCGCCACGGCCGTGGCTGTGGGGGGGGCAAGCAATGATTCGGGCCGAACGAAAGGGGGGGATACGGAAAGGGGGGGGGTTCGAAATCTGCTTCATGCAGCTGGTTTCGGCCCCGCCGCCGGGCCCATCCCTCGATACATGGGCGCCTCCCGGCGCCGGGAGGCGCCTGGAAAATCAGCCACGTGAGCTGATTCTCTGCCTTACCCTTTGTTATCACCCCCTGTCTCGTTCCCCCCGAATGATCGCCGTAATTTGCCACCGCCGCGGGTGACACCATTCAAGAGGGAAAGAAACGTACAGACACAATTAATCTGCGATTCCCAGGAAAAGTATTGGAAAATATGGGAAGTGGGGGGGAAGACAAAAACCCAGAAATTACGCTACCGAGGAACCCCACATACTGATTTTTAATATTATGTGTTTGCTTGTCATTTTCATATATGCGCAATGCTGCGTTCTAAACCCTCGTCGCGAATCGTCGTCGTACTTGTCGTACTCGTTGTCGTACTCGTCGTACTCGTCGTCGTACTCGTTGCCGCTCTATCGTCTTACTCGTCATCGTACTCGTCGTCGTACCTCACCGTCGCACTCGTCTTCGCATTCGTCGTCGTGCTCGTCGCACTCGTCGTCGCACTCGTCGTCGTCGCACTCGACGTCGTCGTACTCGTTGTGTTGGTAGTGCTCGTTGTATTCGTCGCCGCACTCGTGGTCGTCGTCGTCCTCCTCCTCCTCGTCCTCCTCCTCCTCGTCCCACCCCATCCTGTCAACTTCTCCGCACTCCTTTCAATTCCTCCGCACTTCCCTCAACTCCTCCGCACTCCTCTCAACTCATCCTCTCATATCCTTCTGTACTCCTCCTTCTGCACTCCTCCGCACTCCTCTCAACTCCTCCGCGCTCCTCTGAACACCTCCGCACTCCTCTCAAATCCTCCTCCTCACAACTCCTCCGCACTCCTCTCAACTCCTCCTCCTCGCAACTCCTGCACGGCCGCGCACGGCACGGCACGGCACGGCGCCGACGAAAGGCATGGCACGGCAGTGATTCCCGACGGCCCCGGGGCTTTGAGCGTGCCTCCAGACACCGAAAGAAGCGAAAAACCTCCTCGAACCTCGAAGTGCGTCGCCGTCGTCGTCGTCGTCGCCGCCAGACATGGTCAGACCTCCGGCGGCGCAGTGCTCCCTCGGGCCCCGGATGGGGCGGGCGCGGCAGGGGGCGGGAGCGGGGGCCGGGAGGACCGGCCAGAGCTCCTGCGGACCGACGACAACGACCTTTCTCGCCCTGCCTTCCGCCACCATTTCTTCTCCTCTATTCTTCTTCTCCATTTTCTTCTATACTGCTCCTGGGAGGGCCCATAGGGAAGGGAAGGAGGGGAGGGAGGGAAGGAGTGAGGGACTCCTGCTGCTGCCCCGGCTCCTGCCCCCTTTCCTGCGATGGCAGCTCTCTGGTCTCGCGCCCTTCGATGGAAAATCTCTGGGCGACAGCGCATTCTATAAACCCTAAAGACCTTCGATGGAAAATCTTTGGTCTTTGGATGCGGACGACGCTCTGTGGCGATCAGAGGCAGACGTGCCTAGACGGGCACGATGCCAAATCCATGTGGGAAAGCAGCGCGCGTGGCATGCTGCAGCGAACCGCACTCCGGGAAACCGCACTATCTTGGCAACCATGCTTTCCACAATATGCTCCAGACGCTGCGCCACAGATCCTGGAAGTTTTGCTGCTTAGCACATGCCTTTGGAGGAGGCAAATTGCCGCCTCCAAAGCCGAGAGCCAGGGTGCTGACTCCAATTTACTTGATAAAAGCCAGGCCTGACGGCATTTCGCCAGCCAGTGTTTGAGAGGTCTCGGGCAGCCGTGCCAGGAGGCCACGAGCCCCGATCGAGCCACATGTCCCAGCAATATTCTCGCAGGGCGCTGGCCTAGGGTCCGCAGCCGAGCAGAGTTGGCTCGTCGGGCTTCGTAAACCACCGAATTCGCTTCGCGACCGTCGTCACTCACTCTCTTCCTTGTCCCTCCCCCCCGCCGAGAGCCAGGGCGCTGACTCCAGCTTACTTGATACAGGCCAGGCACGGCGGCACTCTGGAAAACGCAGCGCCTGCAGCTCCGCCGAAAAAGGGTTGAAGGCAAGCGACATACAGGCGCGGGAGGATGCGCGTAGCCCACGTGCAACGCAGCCAGGCGCACGCCAGCCGCGAGCTGGGCATGCATGCGCCAAGTCGTCCGTGCAGGGCGCGGCAGAGGGTACACGATGCCGCTTGGAGGGTTCAGATCCCTCTCCTCCTCCTCCTCCTCCTCCTCCTCCTCCTCCTCCTCCTCCTCCTCCTCCTCCTCCTCCTCCTCCTCCCGTTCCTCCTCAATGACGTCCCGAACGGCACTTACGCTGGAGAAAGCTGTTCCCCACCTAGCTACGGCCCCGCTCGGCAGAGGGGGGCCGCCCTGCACTCCCCGTCGGCGGCCGCCCTCCCGCCGGCGTGCACGCGGCCGCTGCGCGCTGCACGCCGCGGTTTAATCTCTCGGGGAACGGAGAATGGCATAAGCATAAAAACTCGGAGGTCCGCGCGAATTTCTTTTCACGGGCGAAGAACGGCATAACATAAACGTTTTCGCTGTCGGGGGCGCATGGCTCTGGGCGGCTGGAAAGTTTATACCCTTACGGCGGCACCGTAGGGGTATAAACTTTCCAGCCGCCCAGAGCCAGGCGCCCCCGACCGCGAATTTGTTTATTTTATAACGTTCTTCGTTCGCTGATTCTTGGAGTCGAAAAATCCGCGCGGACCTCCGAGTTTTTATGCTTATGTCATTGCTCGCCCCCCCCTCCTGCTCCGCCCTCTCCGCCCCCGCCTCCCCTCGCGCTGCCGTCGCGCCAGGGCGCCTGGGCCCCAGGCCAGGCGCTCGCGCTGCTCTGCGCCTCAGGCTGGGCCTCTGCGCCCAGCGCGACTCTGCGCGGCCGGGCGTGCCGGACGGACAGTTGGCCAAATCCCCCGCGGGGGCCTTCGGCCGCCTCACGGACCCTCCCGGCAGCCCTCGGCCTGCGAGGGCTGGCTCTCGGCGAGGAGGGTGGCGCCCTCTCGCGCGGCCGCCGCCGCGCCAGGGGCTGTGGGCCCCGAGGCGGCCGGAGGTCTCCTGCGGGCCAGCCTCAGCGCCAGGCCCGCAGCCGCCGCGAGGCCGAGCGCCGCGGCGGCCAGGGCCAGCGCCGCGAGCACGGCGCCGCCCTGGCCGCGCAGCAGGCCCCAGCGGGGGCCGCCCACCGCGAAGCAGCTCTCGCACTGCGCGATCTGCGCCGGCTGCGGGCGCACGTCCTCCTCCAGAGGGTCGGGGTCCACCAAGGAGTGGGGGGCCCCGAGGGGAGGGGGGAGTTCGGTCCGCTGGTGCCTCGAATTTCTAAACAAAAAAAAAAAAACGATGCCCCCCGCGCGCTCCGTTCGTTGACACCTCTTGGGTTCCGGCGGCGGCCGGGGACCTCGCTTTGCATCGCGCCAACGAACCAAACTCACCCCCCCATGTGGCACCCGCCCACCTTGCGAGGTCCCGAGAGGACGAGGAAGCGCCATGAGCATAAGCTTTTGGCGCTCCGCGCGGATTTCCTGGATCCGTTCTGGACCCTCCCCTCCCTGACGCGCGGAGCGCGCCAGGAGCGGCGCCCGAGGCGCCGCCAGGGGGGGCCAGGCGCCGATCCAAGAAATGCGCGCGGAGCGCCAAAAGCTTATGCTTCTGGCGACGTTCCTGCTTCGGTCCTCGGCCGCGTGGCTCTTCGGAGGCTTCTTCACCTTGGCGCACTGCTCCTGGCCGCGGCCGTCGCCGATCATGCCGCACACGAGCTCCAGCAGGGTGCCAGACCCCTGGTCCCGCTCGCCGCTCTTCTGGAACCCGGGGGCCGACGAACAGGAGCCCGACTCCTCGCAGGTGAACAGCTGGCCGTCGATAAATACCCACGGCATGCTCGGCGGCTCGGTGAACTTCGCGTCGGTGAGGCGGTGCATGGCCGCGACGACGCTGTCGGCGTAGTCCGTGCTGTACATAATGTCGAACGCCTCGCGGCCCTCGAAGCACGCCTGCAGCCCGCCCTCGCCAGACCACGGGATGCCGGCCTGCTTGCTGCAGGTCTCGGTGGCATCCTCGTCGCGGCCGAGCAACACCATCGCCGTGAGCCCTAGGTCGCACTCCACGAAACCAGCGCCCCTCCGCAGCGCCTCGGAGTCCGCCGGGGCGGGCATCGGGAGCGCCTCCTTCAGGGCGCACAGCGGGGCCAGCGACAGCGAGCATGCGTCCGTGATCCTGCAGCTGTCGGAGCTCGACATGCCCTTCAGCAGCGGCAGCAGAGTTACCACCACCCCGTCCCCGGGCAGCCCGGCGTCGAGGAAGGGAAGCAGGCTGTTGTGGACGAAGTGGTAGCAGCGCGGGCACGTCGCCAGGAAGAACACTTCGACGGAGATCGGCGCGCCCTGCCGCTCCCGCAGCCTCCGCCCACGGGCGCTCGGGGCGGCGGCGGGCGCGTCGGCGCCGCGGGGCCTCGCCGCGACGGCCTCGCACTCGCGGGCCACGGCCTCGAGCTGCCACCCCTCGCCGCAGGCGCCCTCGAGGACGCCGCGCCCGCCTCCGAGCGGAGCGGCGGCGCACAGGCAGAAGAGGCACCCGCGCCGCGTCCGCGGGGGCGGCAGCCGCATGCGTGGACCGCGCGGGCAGCCGCGGCAGCCGCGGTCGCCGCGGCGTGAAAGCGCGGTCCGCGCCGCCCCAAGGCGCAGGCGGCGGCGGGGCCCCCGTGGCTGGAGCCGAGGGGGCTGCGGAGGGTGCTCGGGAGGCATGCTGGGCCGTCTGGAGACCGTCCTGGGCCGCGAGCTCGGCGAGGAGAGGCCTCCCTGGGCCGTGCTGGGTACGTCTGGTGAGGGGCGTGTTCTTTCCACCACCACCACCATAATTAAGTTGGAGGGGGAGGGGGTCCTCCTCCTCCTCCTCCTCCGCCTCCTCCTCCTCCTCCTCCTCCTCCTCCTCCTCCCCCTCCTCCTCCTCCTCCTCCTCCTCCTCCTCCTCGTCGTCGCCGTCGTCGTCCACTTGAGCGCCGATGGCGAACCCGCGCTCCCGTATCGAGAGAACGCGCTCGAGCGGCCGAAGCCGCTCTACCTTCACCTGGGCCCGCCGCGCGCGAGATGTCAACCTCTCGGTCCCCCGAGGGCTAGAGCCTTCTTGGAGCGCCCCGTGCAGGATCTGGGATGGCGTCGTCGTCGTCGTCGCCGCCGCCTCCTCCTCTCCTCCTCCTCCTCATCGCCGTCCTCCTCATCATCGCCCCTCTCCTCCTCGTCCTCCTCGCCCTCCTCCTTTTCCTCCTCCTCCTCGTGCTCCTTCTGCTCCTGCGCATCCGTCCCCATCCTCTTCTCGCTTCTCCTCCTAAACTCCTTCCCTGCTCGTCCCCTTGGTCCTCCTGCTCCTGCTCATCCACCCCTCATCCTCATCATGCTCCTCTCTCAGGCACGAGACACCTAGGGCGGCCGAGCGCGGACAAGTCAGGTCGGCCGAACACGCAACACCTAGGGCGGTCGAACAAGCCAGGTCGGTCGAGCACCGGACTCGTAAGGCGACCGAGCAAAGACAAGTCAGGTCGGTCCAGAACGGAACACCTAGGGCGGTTGAGCACGAGACACGTAAGGCGGCCGAGCACGAGACACCTATGGCGGGCGAGCACGGGACACCCAAAGCGGTCGAGCACGAGAGCGGAGCTGTCCAACGGTCGGACAAGTCAAGTCGGTCCAGCACGAGACACCTACGGCGGTCGAACAAGTCAGATCGATCCAGCACGCCACACCTAAGGCGGTCGAACAAGTCAGGTCGGTCGAGCACGAGACACCTAAGGCGGCCGAGCACGGACAAGCCAGGTCGGCCTCCTGGAGAGGAGGTAGAGGGCAAGGAGGAGGAGGAGGAAGAAGGAGAGAAGGGAGGAGGACCATCGTGCATAGCGGCCGAGCTCAGGGACCACCTCCTGCGCCCCCCTCTGGTGTCGAGAAAGTGCCACGCCTGCTGTGCCTGGACGACCGTCGTGCATAGCGGCCGCGCTCAGGGACCACCCCCTGCGCACCCCCTCTGGTGTCGAGAAAGTGCCACGCCTGCTATGCCTGGACGACCGGCGCGTATAGCGCCGCGCTCAGGGACCACCCCCTGCGCCCCCCTCTGGTGTCGAGAAAGTGCCACGCCTGCTGTGCCTGGACGACCGTCGCGCATAGCGGCCGAGCTCAGGGACCACCTCCTGCGCCCCCCTCTGGTGTCGAGAAAGTGCCACGCCTGCTGTGCCTGGACGACCGTCGTGCATAGCGGCCGCGCTCAGGGACCACCGCCTGCGCACCCCCTCTGGTGTCGAGAAAGTGCCACGCCTGCTGTGCCTGGACGACCGGCGCGTATAGCAGCCGCGCTCGGGGACCACCCCCTGCGCACCCCCTCTGGTGTCGAGAAAGTGCCACGCCTGCTATGCCTGGACGACCGGCGCGTATAGCAGCCGCGCTCAGGGACCACCCCCTGCGCACCCCCTATGGTGTCGAGAAAGTGCCATGCCTGCCACGCCTGCGATCCAGGCGACGTATAGAGACCGCAGCGAGAGACCACCCCCTGCGCACCCCCTATGGTGTCGAGAAAGTGCCACGCCTGCTATGCCAGACCGTCCGTATGGAGACCGCAGCGAAGACACCCCCTGCGCACGCGTGTCGATAAATGCCACTCCTGCTATGCCGCGACCGCGCGTATAGAGACCGCAAGCGAGAGACCACCCCCTGCGCACCCCCTATGGTGTCGAGAAGTGCCACGCCTTCTATGCCTGGACGACCGGGACGTATAGAGACCGCAAGCGAGAGACCACCCCCCTGCGCCCCCCCTATGGTGTCGAGAAGTGTCGGCCTGGCCTATGCCTGCATGACCGCAGCGTATAGAGACCGAGCGAGAGAACCACCCACCCCCTGCGCACACCCCTATGGTGTCTAGAAAGTGCCCACGCCTCGATCCATGACCGACCGTCGCGCGTATAGCTACCGCAGCGAGAGACCACCCCCTGCGCACCCCCTATGGTGTCGAGAAAGTGCCACGCCTGCTATGCCAGGACGACTGGGACGTATAGAGACCGCAGCGAGAGACCACCCCCTGCGCACCCACTATGTGTCGAGAAAGTACCACGCCTGGACGACCGGCGCGTATAGAGACCGCAGCGAGAGACCACCCCCTGCGCACCCCCTATGGTGTCGAGAAAGTCCACGCCTGCTATGCCTGGACGACCGGCGCGTATAGAGACCGCAGCGAGAGACCACCCCCTGCGCACCCCCTATGGTGTCGAGAAAGTGCCACGCCTGCTATGCCTGGACGACCGGCGCGTATAGAGACCGCAGCGAGAGACCACCCCCTGCGCACCCCTTATGGTGTCGAGAAAGTGCCACGCCTGCTATGCCTGGACGACCGGCGCGTATAGAGACCGCAGCGAGAGACCACCCCCTGCGCACCCCCTATGGTGTCGAGAAAGTGCCACGCCTGCTATGCCTGGACGACCGGCGCGTATAGAGACCGCAGCGAGAGACCACCCCCTGCGCACCCCCTATGGTGTCGAGAAAGTGCCACGCCTGCTATGCCTGGACGACCGCGCGTATAGAGACCGCAGCGAGAGACCACCCCCTGCGCACCCCCTATGGTGTCGAGAAAGTGCCACGCCTGCTATGCCTGGACGACCGGCGCGTATAGAGACCGCAGCGAGAGACCACCCCCTGCGCACCCCCTATGGTGTCGAGAAAGTGCCACGCCTGCTATGCCAGGACGACTGGGGCCACGCCTGCTATAGCAGGACGACTGGGGCGTATAGAGACCGCAGCGAGAGACCACCCCCTGCGCACCCCCTATGGTGTCGAGAAAGTGCCACGCCTGCTATGCCAGGACTGGTGTCGTCTTGTGTGTGCGAGTGTGTGCATGCGTGCGGCTGTATGTAGACGCGTGTCGCCGAGACGTGCTGTGCTGTGCTCTGCTGAGCTGTGCTGTGCTGTCCTATGCTGTGCTGCGGTCTGCTGTGCTGTGCTGCGCTGTGCTGAGGAGGAGGAGGAGGAGGAAGAGGAGGAGGAGGAGGAGGAGGAGGAGGAGGAAGAGGAGGAGGAGGAGGAGGAGGAGGAGGAGGGGAGGAGGGCGGGTGTGGGGGAGACGCGGGCGCGGCGCGGCAGGGAAGAAAACCAGAACCCCACGAAGCATGTGGGGAAATATAGGGAAATATGGGGAATCTTTTTATTTGTGTGTATTAATTTGTGTGTCCTGGGGCCCTTCATAATTTGCCACCGCCGCGGGGGACACCATTGCCACTGCACACGCCGGTGCCGAGGAGTCCCTCCGCTGAGGCCTCCCCGAGCACCGCGTCGCGTTGAGGCGGAGCACTGTGCAGGCGTTCGGGGTGAGGTGCGGTCCCCGTGGTGCCACGTCGGGGGTGGCAGATTGCTACGCCATGGTCCGGGCCAACCCAACCAGCACATGTGAAGGGGCCCTGGGACACACAGATAAATGCACACGAATAACAGGATTCCCCCTATTTCCCTACATTTCATGGCTTCTTGTCTTCCCCCCCGCTTCCCACATTTTCCTATCCTTTCCTTGGGAAATCGGCGATTCACTGTGTCTGTGTGTTTTTTCCCCTCCTGAGCATGGGAAGCGAGAGTTGCACGTCGCGCAGTGGCGGGCGAGGGCGAGGGCGAGGGAGGCAGGAGGCAAAGGGCGCAAATAAGGAATGAGAGCTGGAGAAAAGAAAACATGCGGGAGGGAGCTGTTTGGCTGATCCCGCTCCCCCTCCTCTTCCTCATCATCGTGTTTTCCCTTCCCTGTTGCCCTTTCTTCGTCCCCCAGGCGCCCTCCCGAGTGCGTGTTGAAGCTTCCTGGGGGGGGCTCTTCTCTGGGGCGGTCTGCGGGGCCATTCTTGAGGTCATCCAAGGGGCCTCCGAGCTGGGGGAGGGCCGTGATCCACCAAAAGGCGTCTCCGATCCACGAGGGGGTTGTTCAGGAGGGAAAAAAACACACAGACACAATGAATCGCCGACCCCCAGGAAAATATAGGAAAATATGGGAAGTGGGGGCGAAGACAAGAACCGAGAAAACATGGGAAAATATGGGGAATCATTTTGTTTGTGTGCATTTATTTGTGTGTCCCAGGGCCCCATTCACAAAAGGGTTACGTATGCGTATCAGCCCTGTAGCTCTCCTACAGCTCGAGTTAAGTCCAGAAAACCGACAGCATCCGTCAAGCAATTTTGTAGAATACGAATAGTTTCGCGGACCTAGCTCGAGTAGTAGACCGAGTCTCGGATCCACGAGGGGGCTGTCTCGGAAGGACTCTGGGCTGCGAGGGCGGAGGCGGGAAGGCGACGCGAGGGGACGGGGAGGCCAGGGGAGGCGCCGCCGCCGACCATGCTCGGGAGGGGACAAGAACACACACAGACACAATTCACCGTCGATTTCCCTAGGAAATGTGGGAAAATATGGGAAATGCGGGGGAAGACGAAAACCCAGAAAATATGGGAACAGATGGGGACTCTTCTTATGTGTGTGTGTATTTATTTTGTGTGTCCTTGGGTTCCTTGGCATGCCCTTCCCTCATCCCCACTTGCCAAGTTTTGAGTCCTCCTCGATGCGTTTCTTGCGCTTGTGACCGAACAGCCAAAAGACGGCGTGACTCGTCAGGTTTTGTGAGCATCGGGGGGTGGCCGGCACCAAGACAGCCGGAAGCAGCCAACAAACTTGTTGAACGACGCCCTGAGATCACCCGAAGAGGGCCGAAC